CCCCAAAACCCCAAAACCCCAAAACCCCTAATCTAGGCAACAAAGTTGAAACCTAAAACATATTTTTAGAAATCATAGAATGGTGGAAAGAGGATACTTCTTGAAGTTTTCGAGGTCTGTACGGCCTCGAAAAGATTTTACATTCCTCTGGGCTTGGCTTAGGAGTAAATTTGGTCCGGTCAGTATCCCTAGAGGGTTAGGAAGATATTTACAGTAGTTGAGAATGATTAAGAAGGTCCTGCACACTCAAGTCATTTTCAGTGCATTGAGTAGTCTTGTGCTTCGATACGTTGATACAGGTTATCATTGGGTCTGGTTTCTTCCTTCGACGTTTGATTCTGCGCGTTTTACCGATCTTTTTAGGAGATTTTAATTTTTGAGCTTTAGGTCTTGGCTTTGATTTTACAAAGTTTATTCTTAGATCATCTTTTTCTGTGAAAATAACTGAATTGCGTAGAGGAATATCAAGATCTATCTTGTGAATACGATTATTTTTAGGAAAACTTGGCTTGATAAACTTAGATCAAGGTTGGTGCATTCTCTTTGTTTTACCTTTCATCCACAAGCCTAGAACATGAGAAACTCTGCTTATGAACCCTTTGGATCGTCTCCGGGCTTTGTAGCTAAAGTTAACGGTAGAGGATAAAGGTCTCTTTGCACTGGGGTTTCTGGTCTTTGAAACCTCCCTCGAGCTAGTTTTATGGATAGGATTGACAGAGATATCCATATCGGAAGTAGAATTTATAAATGCCTTAGAACTTTTATGGGTCTTTAGTGCTTTTGAAGACCTAGTTGATTTATTTGATAGTTTCTGAGATTTTCTCGATTTAAGAGCACCCTTCGAGTAAGGTTTGAGGTTGTAAACAGTAAATTTTTCAAGGGCTTTTCGCGGGTTAGTCTGGTTTATATTAGTGTCTGTTATTTGTACAATGGAATTCCTTCATTTTCTGAAACCTATTTTGGGATTAAACAATCCAATTATCCTAAACTTACACTTTCTGTATTGCTTTGCTGGTAAAGAAGCTCTTCTTTTTTTAATTCTTCCTATGCTTTCAGAATGATTTGTAGGACGAAGGTCTCTCATTTTCCCCTCATTGCTGATCTCTAATTTTTCCATCTCCTTTTCCTCAATGTCAGGCTCCTTATATTTCCTTCTCTCTTCTAATTCCTTCATAATACTCTTCTCTAATTCCCTTTTGTCTGTTGAAATATCTCTAAAACTTAGTCTAAAATCTCACCTGACGCCAACAATTTTACTAAACACTGTACTTCTTTCTGTGTTTTGTGTCATAATTTCAAAATTGTTGTTCAACGTTTTCCCAGTCTTCGGTCGCCTAGCGGCCGAAGGCGCAGCCAATAGCTCCATTATTTTCAATTTAACAAATAATACAAGGGGTTTTGGGGTTTTGGGGTTTTGGGG